CCCCCATCCCAGCCACTCCCCAGCTCCCAGAGGGGCCTCTCCGGGCAGACAGGAATCCCAGCCGTGCCCATTTCACGCCTCACGTTCAACAAATCCCGGGAACGGCGCGTTCCACGTCCAATTATCCCCCTCTGGAAAAGCCAGGCCCTCCCCTAATAAACCCTTTAAGCAAATCCATCCCACTGCGCTGGGATTTGCTTCCCCTCCCAGCACATGGCTCCGAAAATAAACAGCTTGTAAAAGGCCCCTGGCAAGGCAGGACTAATGAAGGCAAAGCCGGGTTTGTGTCCGGGGGCCTGGGTTTGATCTCCCCGTGTGCTGTTTGAACTCCCCCTTCATTAAAAGCGCTGCTGGAAAAGCCCCTGGTTGGAAATGCAGGCCCTGGAAGTTGGAATTTAAATCAAAACCGCCCCCGGGGCCAAGTGGGAGCTGCTCAAAGGCACCTGCACCCGGCTGGGGTTGGATCTCCCAGGGATTCCCAACCTCTCCCCGCTGTTTGCTCCCGTCGGGGCGGCGGGAGGGAGCGGGAATCGCGGAATCCTGGGACGGTTTGGGTGGGAAGGGGCCTGAAGGATCCCCTCATTCCACAGCCCTGCCGTTGGGGTGGCGGAATTCAGCCCGTCCACGTCACCACAGCCTGTGTTCCCCTTCAGGGATTCATGGAATCGTGGAGTGGTTTGGGTGGGAAGGGACCACAGAATCCATCCAGTGCCACCCCCTGCCCTGGGCAGGGACACCTCCCACCAGCCCAGGTCCAGCCTGGCCTTGGACACTTCCAGGGATCCAGGGGCAGCCACAGCTTCTCTGGGAATTCCATCCCAGCCCCTCCCCACCCTCACAGGGAAGAATTCCTCCCCAGTATCCCACTCAAATCTCCATTTTTCCAGTTTGAAGCCATTCCCTGTGTCCTGACCCTCCATCCCTTGTCCCAGGTCCCTCTCCAGCTCTCCAGGTGTCCCTAAGATTTGATGATCCAACCATCCCCCAGCCCTGACCATGTCCCCAAGTGCCACATCCACAGGGCTGTTAAATCCCACAGGGATGGGGACTCCCCCCCTGCCAGGGCTGGACAACCCTTCCCAGGAGGGAGTTTTCCCAAAATCCAACCTAAACCTGAAGTTTCAGCTTTCGATCCCCGGGGCTGAGCCTGGCAGGTGCCAGCTCTTGCAGGGCTGTCAGGTGGTCCTGGCACAGCCCCGAGGGCAATCCCAGCTCGGCTGGATGGGAATCTCCGGGCACAGGGAGGGCTCAGCCCCCACATCCCGGGGGCACCGGGGGCTGGGAAAGGCTGGAATTGATTGGGAATGTTCAGCTGCACGTCCTGGTCCCATCAGCAGCCGAGTGCAGCTGCCAGGGCTGAGCTCAGGAGGGTCTTTAGGGCAGGAAAGGGTTGGCAGGGAATGTCAGAGCGGATGGAATGAGCTGGTGCCGTGTCCGGGTCTGGGACCATCGTGGCCAGAAGGACATGGAGGGGCTGGAGCGTGTGCAGGGAAGGGAAGGGAGCTGGGAAGGGGCTGGAGCAGCAGGAGCAGCTGAGGGAGCTGGGGGGGCTCAGCCTGGAGAAAAGGAGGCTCAGGGGGGACCTTCTGGATCCCTAAAATGCCCTGGAAGGAGGTTGGAGCCAGGGGGGGTTGGGCGCTGCTCCCAGGGAACAAGGGACAGGAGGAGAGGGAACGGCCTCAGGCTGTGCCAGGGGAGGGTCAGGTTGGACAGGAGGAGGAATTTCCTCCTGGAAAGGGTGGTCAGACCTTGGCAGGGGCTGCCCAGGGAGGTTTGGAGTGCCCATCCCTGGAGGTGTCCCAGGAAGGCCTGACCGTGGCACTCAGTGCTCTGGGCTGGGGGACAAGGTGGGCATCGAGCACGGTGGGGATCCATGGGCTGGGAGGGCTTTTCCAGCCTCGGGGATCCTGGGAGCTCCAGGGAGAGTCTCCTGCCTGTCCAGCTGCTCTGGGATGAGGGACCTGCTGCTCTCCCACACGCACAGGCTGAAGTGGGACCAGATTTCTGGGTGCAAACCCCCCGGGGCCTCCTGCCCTCCCAAAAATCCAGGTCTCTCCTTCCTCTGTATCCCGTAGCACAAAAGCAGCCCGGCAGAAATGCAGCCCTGTCAACACTTTCCCGGGAACAGGAGCGGGTTTTTCCCTCCTCCCCTCTGCGTTATTCACAACTGTAAAACATCCCCCAGCCTCCCCTCTCCCCATCTCTCCCCCCTCCTGACTGCAGAACAACCCCCAAACAAACAATAATTCCAGCCCCTTCCTCTGCCCAGGGCTGGGAAATCAATCTCTGGCCGGGGGTTTTGTTTTTCTGGGGGATTTCAGAGCTCGGTTTGATCCCGGAGTGAATTTTACGTTTAATCGCAGAGTGAATTTCCCGCCGCCTCCAAAGGGACCCGTCGACCTCCCCCAGCCTGGAATTGCCCCTTCCCACCCTGCCCTTCCCCCAGCCCTGCCTCTCCCTGTCCCCACTTCCCAGGGCTCTGGGCAGGACAGTTTTGTCACCATTTACGGGGTTTTCCACAACAAAAAGGGTCCGGGCTGTAGGGATGGTGCCGGTGTGGGATGTGCTCCCAGTTGCCCCCTGGAAGGGGTGGGATCCCCCCGGAGTGACCCTTGGTCAGGCAGGAGGTTGTTCTGAGGGGTGGGAGCAGTGCTGGGGTGAAGGGGGTGCAGGGAGGATCCAACGGGGCCACAGTGTGGGGTTTGTTCCCTTTGAGGAGGGACAATCCTTGGATCTTGCAGTGGGAAGGGGGGAAGGTGGAAAGCCAAGTCCTGTGGGTTTGGCAGCAGTTCCTTGGTGAGTCATGGAATGGTTTGGGTGGGAAGGGACCTTAAAGATCATCTCATTCCACCCCTGCCATGGGCAGGGACACCTCCCACCAGCCCAGGCTGCTC